TGAATCCCAAGATTCAGTGGCCACAATACTTTTTTGTAACTGCTTCGGTAGTCTCTTCTCGATGAGCCATAATCCCTATCATCGTAATGATGTCTGGTCTCTTCCGCATCTTTTTCCAGATATTTCATTGGTGCTTAAAAAGAACGTATATATATGGAGGGGATAATAAGTATGTATCTTTTTATGTACAGCCTGGACGGCCAGGAAGACTGGTACACTGATTTTAATGTTCTAAGTATGTTTGCCTTCGGCAGCATACGTGTGCATGTTTAAAGGTAAACTTATGGGCGCATGGATATATATGTATATCTACATATAAGTGTACACGTTATAATGTATGTATTTATCCAGTGTTATGCAGTGCCTAGGGAAATCGCTTTTTTAACAAACGAATGGTTTCATAGTGGGGTGGGGGAGGTGACACACGTACATTTGTGCGTATAATGGCCTTCCTTTTTTTTTTTTATTTTTTTTATTTCTCCGTTATGGCGTAAAAGGCACACAGGAAAGAATGTATTTATGAGCTCTACAAATTTTTCTTTTTTTCGCGCCTAAGTGTAAAGTGTAGGAGGCACCAGGAAAAAAGTGGCAAACTGGAGGAGTGGCAAAATGTGTCAAAGTGTAGCAAAAAATGGTGAAAAAAATAAGTAAATTGCCTCGCATAACCGAGGAAATTGACACTTATTAACAAGGGGTGAAGGGTAAAGAGGCCTCAGACGGGAGAATGGCCTTCTTCGCGTAGCGATATGCAAGTAGTACGCATGTTTTTATGGCATATATATATAATACACCACGTAGGATATTTTTTCTTTTTTTAAATGCCCCCCTCCTGTAAGGAATACTGAAGAGCTGGCTACCCCACCGCACATATTTAACAATTAATTATATGTGGTTTCATTTTCCATATATGTCACTTTTTGCATTTCGTCGTGTGTTTCTCTTGCTCCTTTTTACGTTACCCGCATTAAGCTCGGTTGCATAAGGCTACGCGGTACGCATGCCAATGGGAGAAGGATGCATAGCCTCTCTTTCCCAACAAAAAATTTACATACGTGTAAACATGTGCATTAGTTAGATATGCATATATTTACGTATACATTTTCTCATGTGCATATTTTGAATTACCGTTTTACCTGCCGTGCGCAGCCTTTTTCCAACTTTCCCAAAATTTTAACACTCCACTCAGGCATTACAGGAATGGTAACTGCTGAAATGAATTGCTACTTCATCGTGTAAATGTGAAAATTACTTTTAACTTTCAGGTACAAAAAAATGTAGGCACATTCGTAAGGCATAATTTCGCACTTTTTTTAAGCAAAATGGATTTCACCAAGTTGTAACAGGCAATATGGGGGTTACTCTAATTGTGTACGGGGGAGGCATTTTGCACAGCATCCGTACACCCTATGGTATGTTGCGAAGTGACACCTTCATCAGCATCTAGCGTTACACACGCAACAATCGCACAGAGGAAGCATATGAAATGTCCGACTGCTTTTTTGAAATACCGCCCAATGCCCGCAAAATGAAAGGGCACCATTTTGGCACCTTAAAACCCGTTCGTTCACAAAGAGCCAGGGGAGCTAAACGCTACTGTGCAAAATGAGAGCCTAAAAAATAGCGCGAATTAGTTTTTCCAAAATGAAAACTGATAAGTTCGCTCTTTTAACCCCGAAGAAATTTCCACACCTCTATTTCCGGTCAAATTTTAATATGCACAAATTTGGACAATATTTCCAAATGAGTCGAATTAATATTTTGGTGGTGTTTTCTTTGAAGGAACACCATCACGTTGCTGTAGCAGTAGGGGAGGCTACACGCACTGGTCCTTAGCACGTTGGCGTTCCATTACTCTCACGCCAATTGGTTCCCACGTGAGCTTCTCTTACAAGAGCAGGGGTAGCGGTGGGGGGCACTTTACCGCTTTATCCTGATTTCCGGCATGACATCGCGCCGCGTATGAACAAACACGTGAACACAAGTCTAAATTGTGTATTAATTTTTCCGTCATTTTGCTGTCATTTCACCGCCCTTTTTCGCCACTCATTTTAGTTAAAATGAATGGGAAACAGTTGCCTCAAAAGGTCCCCCTTTTTTTTAACCACCCAACTTGCAACTTTGCAACTGTTAATCTGTGTAACTGTGCAACTTTGCAACTTTGCAAGTGTTCATCTGTTCAAGTGTTCATCTGTTCATTTGTTCACCTGTTCATTTGTTCACCTGTTCATTTGTGCAACTTCGAAATGGCGAATCGGCCCCTCTCGTTGCCCCCCCACCTTCGCCAGCTTCCTACTTAATTTTTTCCCCCTCAAATAAACCCGTGCACCAAATGGAAAAACTTGCCCATCGAAATTTCCCAATTTTTTGGCGCCAACGTGGAAGCGAAAAATCGTTACAACATGGCATGACAGAAGTCACCGCGAGTGGTGAGTCCACACCTTTTGTTCTAATGACACATGCGATACCTCGTTATAAAGTTGTTACACCGAAAAAAAAATAATAATAAAATAATAAAAATCTCGTTATTGTGTACCATTTTAAAGGCAAACTTTAACAGTGTTATGAATTTTTTTTTTTTTTCCCGTTTCCCTTCGATATGGCCGCCATACCAAAGGAGAAAAAAAATGATATTCAAAAGGGGCGATTGTTAGCAATTTCGGTGTATGACGAATGCAGCCTTTCAGGCATATATGTCTGTTTAACGTGTGTTCCCCCACATTAGTCCCTTCTGTTAAAGTTTTGTTCATTATGCGATTAAGGCTCTGTCCGCGCTGCTATCAGTGTGTATCCCTTCCGTGCCAACATTAACCATACGAAGAATATGCCAAAAAGGCAGACCCGTATGACACGACATTTTTAACCGTCAGAGCACAGAATGAGAAAATGAAAGCTCCTCCTGAAATTGATTTGTTGCCCCCAAAGAGCGGCATTGAACAAGGGAACCATCCACCCTGTTTGAAAAAAAAAAACAGCAAAATAATTTCGTATTTGAAAAATGAATCACAAATTAATGTACTCTTATCAGAACTTAAAGAAAGGAATGGAGTAAATTTTTTAAAAAATAATCAATGTGGGAAGTTCTCTCTTAATCAGGACAAAAAAAAAGAACAAGTCACCCTTTGCAACCACCTGTCTGATTTGTCCTACCCCCAACCAAGTGAAAAAGGCATAAATGAAAAAAAAGGTGAAATATACATGCATAGGAAGTGCACAAATCAACGTGACAACACATCTATGGCATCACCACCAGGAAAAAAAAAAAGAACAGAGAAATGTACCCTCCTGCACAGATTAGGAACACTTACTCTTGGGGAAGCAACAGAAAAAGTGGAAGCACATGTTAACAGCCACGCAGAAGTAAAAAAGAATGGCACTCTTCCCGTGGGGAAAAAAATAATTACACATGAATATCAAATTTGCAAAATGAGAGCCAAAAAATATAGCACCTTGAAATACAACATATTTGTTAAAGGACTCAAAAATGTAGACAACGAGACAGAGGGAAGGAACACTTCTTTCCCAAGGGATGAACCCATTATGATCAGTAACAACGTGAATAGCAAAAAAAGTCAACATGTAGAAAGCAATGCAAAGTTCAACTGTGACGATTTGCTGCAAATATACGAACATAGATACCTTCGCCATATTTTTAAAAACAGCAAAAATGTACCTTCTCATAAGGGAATAAAGACGATAAATAATGCAGCTTACGTGCAAGGCCAAAATCCGTGTAACTCAGGAGAGCACCAATTAAGCAACGGCACAAAGGACAATAACCTGGACAAATCAGAAGCTGGAATTAACCATTTTCATAGTAGGAATGGTATACACAATCGTAGTGACGGAAAATATCCAAAGAATACCGTTTTGAAGAGCAACTTAAATGAAGAACTCTCCACTCCAGAGGATTTCACACATTCTCGTTACAGTTCGTGTGATGCCAACGGGGTTAATAAGTGTAATGTAAAAAGTAACACCGCGGATGATGCTGTCAGCCAGGTCGGCGGCGCCCTCGTCAAAGGTGACAATGTGACTACGTTGACTGAACAAAATAGGCACTTTTATTCTAGACAGATAAAAGACCCCCATGGGAACGACAACTTGGGGGGCGAAAAGATACCAAATGATGGTAAGTCCGACTCTAGAGAAATGGGGAACAGTTGGGGGCACAACAAGGAAAACGAAAATAAAAATAATCCGAACTATTCGAAAGTTCGCAAACATAGTTATACAGACGCGTCTCAAATTGAGCTTCTTCAAAATGGGATACACAAAAAAATCGAAACGTTAGGTAGTGTCAAATGTGCAAGGGAAGAATCCCTAGTGACACCCCTAACCCGAAACGAACCTGAACAGAGTGGAAACTCCTGGGAAGAAGAAGACAATACAAAAGGCCTCCTACCGAACAGAATGCAAGCAAAAAAGAAACCGGGGGAGAGAATCCCAAACGGCCCCAACGCAACGGAAAAGCTCATTAAAAATATGCTAATTAAGGAATTAAAAAATGAAATATATTATAGCATTATCAAAATGGAAGAAGATGAAGAAGATGAAGAACATAAAGAAGATGAAGAAAATAAAGAAGATGAAGA